GCAATTCTGCTGTTGGTTCGAGGTCAAGACTATCTGGACTCATATGTATGATGCTGTTTGATTGCTGAAGTTCGCTATTGCTCATCTTCCTTGCAGTTATGTTGTGCAGAACAATAAACTGAACAACTTTTGCTTCAGGGTCGAACCAAAATTCTTTGCGAAATAAAACATAAAAAATTAAAAGAAATAAAATTAAACATTTTTTTATTTTTATTTTTTTTCATTTTTGGCCCAGCCGCGCAAGTGGTCCCGGACCACTCTGGTAACATAGGGCACTTCCCCCTTTGCCATCTGTTTTGCGGCATGATGAAGTTTTCCCAAAGCCAAGGGTCTATTCAGGTCTACTCGTGCATGCTATGGCAGCCTAACGCTGGTTAGATTCCAAGAGGCTGAGCTCGTTCTTAGATCTGTAGCCATGCCTGCTTGTTGTTGTTAGAATGGCTTGAAAATTTAACATGGCATATTCACACATCTGATTTGAATCGTCCAAAACCTGAGTCTGGATTGAGAAAGGGTGTGTCTAGTTCCCTCCCTCATAATCGGTTTGGCTTTTTGTGGAAACAACTTCAAATTCAGTACGACGGTATTCTGGATAAGGTTCCTTCTCTAAACAACTTCAAAATTCACCAAATTCATTGACAAATGTAATCCCAGGCCGGGGGCCTCACAGTAGATGCGGAAAAATACTGGGAACCAACGGGCCTATCTCGCCTGGTACACACCCATGAACTGTTGAAATACAGGACCCAAGTTCGAATCCAGATGAACAGAATAGAGCAGTTCTGATTTAAAGATGGACCGGTAGGTCAGTGGGATATCCTAGTACTTCCAGATCCCAGTTCGTCCACTGATGTTCTCCTTAAAAAATGAGCACTCTGCGCTCCAGGCAAAATTGTAAGAGTGGGGCTCTATGCACGCTGCCCCGTCCGATTTGTGTGTCAACTGTGGCGAAATTGTTTTGTGGAGAGATCTTTGACTTGGTCTTCAGGGATGGGCGTGGGGACGACTATTGATTTTCTCAGGCGTGGGGTATCATCCTTCGGCCTTAAATGTCAGAAAAGAGAGGCCTCTGCTTCCCGCTGCGCCTTTGGCTCCACTCTGGGGATAGATCAGATGGGAAGCGTCTGCTCGAGTACAAATGCGGCCCCTCGTCAACCAAGAAGAAAGAAACGAAACACGGCTGCTACTAAACTACGCACTGTACCCAGTAGAAGTAAGTCTACAATAAGGAGCATGCACAGCCACATTTGCCTTTAACATTCTTGTGTAAGGCCTTCAGACAAGGCATCTATCCCCGATAACTACCCATCATGCAAGGTTCTACCAAACTGATCGTTTTGGCAGCTAAGAGGCACGCTTAGATGAAAAGGTGGTATTTCAAACTCACCTATGCTACACATTCAGTCCTACCAGACTGAGCACGCATTTGGCAGACCCTACCCTAGGCGCCTCTATGGACTGACTGACCCTTCAACCCAGAGGAGTTTGATGCGAAGACTGTTGGATGCAGGCTCTGACCCTGTGAACCGTTGTTGTTGTTGTTGTTGTTGTTGGTGGTGGTGGTAGTGGTGTTGGTGTTGCTGTAGGCCTCTGCGGACCGACTGACCTTTCAACCTACCGATGGACTTGAGGCGAGCCGGATGGATGCAGGCTTTGACCCTGTGAACTGTTGTTGTGATCATTGTTGGTGTTGGTGTTGGTGTTGATGTTGGGAACAGTTTTGACTCATTCGAAGGATCAGAGCAGCAGCAATTGTGGGGGCAGGAGTTGGAAGAGGAGGGCAAGCAGCAGGCAAAGAAAGATGGGGTAAAGATGGCCCAGCAGCAGGATGGGAGAGGGGAGAAGGAGTTGGAGACGATGGCGGAGGGAGTTGAGGAAGGGGAGAGGGAAGAAGAGGTTTCCACTGTGCGAGTGGGTGCGAAAAATGTCTGGACGACTGTCAGTAACAAACTGAGGCCTAGTGTCGGTGGCGTACAACCTGCCAGGGAACGGTTGGCTGTGCCGTCTGCACCTGAGCTGAGTTTGCAGGTCTTGGCACCAGAACCACAGAGGGAATTGCTGGACCTTGTCTTGCAGACACTGCGAACAGAGGTCTGACTCTATGCCCACTTCTGTGTGATCCCTCTAAGTATCTCATTCACACTCCCATAACATAATCAAGGCGCTCACCAGATAGTGATCAGCTGCAGTTGTGATTACAGAAGTTTTGCGGATGTATGTGATGGTCGTTGGAAGGGGGGGAGAAGGGGGATAGAAAGGGGGGAAGGGGGACCTGACTGGGCAGGTTGTAAGCCGTAGCAGGTTGCCCGGATGCCCACCCATTGAAGCTGGGTAACCGAGGTAAGAACTAAAAAATAGTATTATGCCTTCCTACCTTCCCCTGCCAACTGCATCCCCTCCACCCACGCCCCACCTCTCCCTTATTGCTCCTTCTGATGTGCTCTCTTTGCTTGCGGGAGATTATTTTTTTTGGCAGGGTATGGTTTCACTCTGTTACATGTTTGTTTGTATGTGCACCTTTGTCTGTTTCAGGTAGATGCTCGGCCTCTCCGCCTCTTGACCCTGGGGTAACCTGTAACCTTACTCTGTCATCCTTGTGCAGGGACCATGCTAATCTTCTCTGTACTGTTCCAATTTTAACGGACGTCCTGTCTTCTTTTACTCTTTATTTTCAGGGGTCATGCTAATCTTCTCTATGTTGTTCCAATTTTAACGGATGTCCTGTCTCGTTGCAAGTAGGTGATCCCCCCCCCCTCCCCCCTCTCCCCAGGAATCTCAGACTGTGTTTTTTTGTGCGCGTGATTGCAATTATTAATTTATTATTAAAAAAAAAAAAAACTGTTCCTGGAAGGCCAGGGAACATTTCTTCAGGGGGGGGTAAAGGGTTGTCTTTTACTTGGTTGAGGTTAGAACGGTGTTCAAGTAGGTGATCTGACTCTTCAGCGGCTGGGAAATGTTTTCTCTTCCTCTCTTTGCTGATTAGTTTAGGATATCGCCAGGAAATGTTGGCAATACGTTTGACGAGAGCGATGTGAAAGGTGATGCAAGATGGAATACGTATTGCGCAGACAAGTTTTCTTCAGTTCTCACGAAGGTGAGGGAGGAGTGGCTATACACAGACAATCCTACTTCCAATGGAGGTGGAGGAGGTTCAACTGAACCACCGGTCCTTATGAACAAAGACAGGGATGGAAGACGAAGAAGAAGACAAAACCAGATTGGAAAGGATGGTGTGGATGACCAGCAGAGTGGTTCTGGGGCGGTTGATGGTGTCGACGACTTCCAGGGGAATCCCCCAGAAAACAAGGAGGGAGAGGGTTCGAGTTCTTTTCTGCAAAGACTGCACGCTTTGGCTAAGGGTTTTGCAGCAACCGTGGGCAGTCGAAGGGGAGCGGACCTGGGAGAGCCATCAAGCAGGCCTCCAGAGGAAGTCCAGAGGCAATCAACTGAATGCAGAAATTATGAACGTGGACAAACGATGAATCTGGCTTCAGAAGAGGAGAATGGTGACAATGAAGACGACATGAAGTTCAGGGAGCTCAAGGAAGAGCTTAGGAAGAACGAGAAGATAGAACTCTACTGTGACTTGATGTACTTTCTTCAATCACATAAACTCAGGTCTGAGCTGCCCTCTGTTAGTGCCCTCTATTCGCCAATTAAACATGCATCGTACTTGTGCCAGAAAAAAAAAAGGCCAGAATTTTTATATATCGTTTGTTGTCCTCTTCTCCCTCTCTGCCTACGGTTTACCAGGCAGCTCTGTTTGACGATATACATGTAGTCAAACAGAGCTGCCCGGTAAACCATAGACAGAGACGATATATATATATATATATATATCCTCTTCTCCCTCTCTGCCTACGGTTTACCAGGCAGCTCTGTTTGACGATATACATGCTGTCTCTTATACACATCTAGATGTGTATAAGAGACAGCCGCGGTGTTGACTCTAGAAGATGTCGTCGTCCA